GACCCATGTGGTACAAAGAGAAAACTGGCTTCTGAAAGTTATACGTGACTTACATCTATATACTGAATAATTAATATATAAACATGTGCATTTATATATTTTATAGACTAATATCCACAGTTTTGAGGTGGAAGGGAGCTGGAGACTGCTCAGGAGGAGTGCATATGTCTGGCACGAACAAGACTGTGGATTTGATCCCCGGCTCTCAGGATGGTGTGGACTTGTGTTTCAGTGCATACTGTTGGGAATAAAAGTCACATCTCTGAGCCAGGCAGTGGTGGTGAACATCTTTAATCCTAGCACTAGGGAGGCAGGGGCAGGTGGATCTCTGTGAGTTCTAGGCCAGCCTGGTCTTCAAAGAGAAGTTTCAAGACAGCCAGGGCTGTTACCCAGAGAAATCCTGTCACAAAAGCTGAAGAAAAACAAAAGCCACATTTCTCAACAGTAGGTATAATATGCTCCTCTTTTATTTATAAGAAATATATATGGACAGAGAGAAAGAGAGAGAGGCGTTATTATAAACATAAAAAAGGTCTGTGATGGTACACACCAAGCCATTGACAAGTCGTCTCCCGATGGTCGGAGTCATGCACAGGGGGGTGTCTTTTATTTGATATGCTTTTAGCATTTACTACAAGTATGTCCTGCTCTGGACATGTTAACGGGATGAAAGTGATGGTACATTGGGCCCCACAGAAGGCCCGGAGCCCACTGCCGTTCAAGTGAGAGGAAGGGGTCCCAGGAGGCTGAGGCTCTGGATATCCAAGGGCAGCACCCCAGGAAGGGATGGGCTTCCAAACCCACGTGACCTCGCTTCCCACCCCAGGGTGGCCCGGAGCCAGGTCTGGGGAGAAAATTGTTTTTGTGTCTGCCAAGTGAAAAGATTCACTTCCAGTGAGTTTGGGGTTCAAAATCCAAAGGGTACTTCCTGTTCCTCTCCATGGCGGTCTCCCTTCATCCAGCCCACCCCCTGTGGGCCACAGACACTTGGCATCCTCCTGCCTCCCTGTACCCCTCACACATGGCTTCTTAGTTGTGGAGACTGGCCCATAAGAACCCCAGCCACTTTCCTCCGTTTTGGTGGAGTCCTCATCACACGTCTGGACCTTGCCCTGCTGACGTCAGGACTGCTCTTGAGCCATTACTTTTTTCGGTCCACAATCTCTTATCAAAACCATTGACATCACAGAAGATAGAGAGATGAAATACTTTTTTTTTTAAAGGAAGGAAAGTAATTCCATGCATAGTCCACATATGAAATAGGAGTCAAGAGCAGTGTCTCATAATCCAAGACATTAATATCTCCATCTAACTAAGCATAGTGGTACACTCCTGTTATCCCAGCACTTGGGAGTTTGAGGCAGGAAGATGGCACATTTGCAGCTAGCCTGGGCTACCTGGAAAGACCTTGTCTCAAAAAATTTTTCATTCCACTGAAAACATGTGTAAGTGAAATTAGTGCTATAAACAACTTCCCATGGCTTCTCTTTTCTTTCTTTCTTTCTTTCTTTTTCTTTCTTTCTTTCTTTCTTTCTTTCTTTCTTTCTTTCTTTCTTTGATGGTCTAATACTTAGCCTAGGCTGGACTTGAACTTACTATGTAGTCCAGGCTGGGCTTGAGCTCTCCAAATCCCTCTGCTTCGGGTTTCTATGGCTGCTGGGATTACAGACGCGAGGCCACCGAGCGTAGCTTTCCCTTTGGGCTTTGATACCAAATGACCATGCACCCATCTGAAGATCACGTATCCATCTAAGGAAGAAGCTCGATGTTTTCAGAACTTCTTGTGTTTCAGATTCGTAGCGGAGGCTCTGGTGTTTCACGAGTGTATCCATAGGATACGCTTGTGCACGTGCAGAGGCTGTGCCACAGGTGGGTGGGAAGGGTGGGCTTGGCAATGCCGTCGCCTGTGAGCTGCTGTGCTCTCTGCGTCTCCGGAAACACTTGATTATATCTGCTTTCTTCGGGGACATGACAGTTTCGCTTCTTTCCCCTCTCTGTGCCCAGCCAAATGGAGGCTCTACGGCCCTCAGCAAAGACAACCAGGGAGCTCAGTGGGAGCTTTGCTAGGATGGAAATCTCTTCTGCGAGACCCTGAACAAATCACCTATACCAGACCTGAACTTCCTTTTCCTTCTCTGTGGAGAAGTCATCTCTGCCCGCTTGACACCATCTGGTATCTTGTCTCCTGCCCACCCCCACCCTCAGGGGCTGGGTTTTGCCCTGCCCTCCCTAAAGGGAAAAAGAGTCCAGGCCAGCAGAAAGGTCCACAGGCTTTTTAATGGTGTGATGGCTACTTCCCTTCTGAGACCCGATCTAGTTGTGACAGCGACTTGCAAGGTGTTGGTGTCGGAGGAGTGGGCAGGCACAGGGTGGGCAGAGGCCATGCAGTGACTGGGACGGGTGGGCAAGGGCTGTTACATTCTGTGTGGCGTGTAAACATTCTTCTGTTGCTTCCCAGGGAGAGGGGGCAACTTCCTGTCCCCCGACACCTGCCCAGGGGGCTCAGAAGACTGAGCAAGCCAGGCCCCTGGGGAGGTGCTGAGAAGCCAGAGAACCATGTGCCTGGGGCATTCTCCGGCACCCTCGGCACACGGTACGGCTGGGGAGGGAAGGCGCATTGAGGTGAGCACAGCCCACATCTGAGCCAGCGATGTAGGCAGTCAGGATGGGGGGTCGTAAGAGACGGTGGTGGTACTGTGCCACTCTGAGAGGAGGGAAAGGAACCCGAAGGGCCTAGTGCAGGGGACGGGTGATCCTCAAGGCGAGGGCAGCAGCTCTGGCGTGGGGCATCGGGGGAGATGTGGTTTCCTCTGCCCTGGTTCCTTCCTGGGGAGAGGAACCACTCAGCCCCCCTCAGCACCCACCTCTGCTGGTCCTCTGTCCCTCCTTCCTCCCAGCCCGATGACATCACTGACTCGGAAGCCTGAGATCAGATGGAGCCCTCTGTAGGTCTGGAATCCCAAGGGGAGGCTGGCCTTTGCATCTGATCTGTACCAGCCTGAGCATTGGCTATAGACGGTGTTGGGGTGAGCCCGGGCTCTTCTAGGCCTTCCCTTCTTTCAATCTCCAAACCTGGGTGGTGTTGGTCCTACAGCAGAAATGAGACTGAGTGGGGGACCTACATTCACAGTTCGGTTGGTGGCAAGGGGCAGGCCCAGGGGCTGGGCACTGGGGTCATGCCCTGGTCCCCACCTGGCGTGAGCTGATTGTCATTCATAAAAGCTCTGGGTGGGAGGAAGTGAGCCCTCTGCCCCGTCACTGGACTAGGGGACAATTAGAGGGCCTTGGGGTGACAAAGATAACTGTATCCAGAGGTTTCCTGAGTGTTCTGGGAGCGTCTGCGTCAGCATGGATAGATCTCAAAGACTATCCACTCTGGTGTCCTCCCCTAGCTGGTCTGTAGAGCTGCCTTCTGGCACGGAAGCTGCCCGGACCTGCTGACCCTACATGAGGAGTTCAGCTGGCACGAGCTTCTCCCAGCCCATCCCACGGGTGTAGATGTGGCCGGGCCGGTGGCATACTGAGGCCTTCCTTCACCAGAATGTCTTGGTTTGCTCTCTGTGGCTCAGGGAAGGACACAGGGGCCAGAACAGGGGGTGGAGGCTGTGAGTGCTTTCTAGGAGGCCCTCGGGGAGTCCCTGTCCCAGACAGGAGGTGTTGCCTGTCCCACCTGCAGCCAAGATGCTGTTTGCTCCAGATGTTAGCAGCTGAGGCTCCTGATGAGGTGGGCGAACTATGCAGAAGCCAAAATGCAGGAGGAGGCCCCATGTCAGGCACAGAGCAGCTCAGCTGTGTGAGCTGGCTCAGAGCAAGAAGGGCCCAGGGTGAACTGGGTAGGGGTGGGGGTGGGCTCAAGCTACATCTCACACACACACTTTAAAGTGAGAAGGGCCTTCTGCCTCCTGGAGGAGCCTGTCTACCTCAGCCTGCCTCCTCTGCCCACTTAGGAGGATGGTGCCTGAGCCAGCCTATTCCCACAGCAGAGACGTCAGGAAGAAGGATGAGAGCCAGAACATAGTCCCTAACCCCCCAAATGACCAACACACAGAAGGTGATAGCCAGCCACTCTCCACCTGTGTGGAACTTGAGAGAGGAAAGCTGGCAGAAACTGCAGTACGCAGGATTGAGGTTAGACAGCAGGAAGGACTTTCCTGATGGTAAAGGGTCCTGAGTACTAGACCAGAGGACCAGAGAAGTGAGTAACCTTTTAAAAGCCCCATTCCAAATTCCCTCTGGGAAACACTTGCCTAGGAAGGCAGGTGCTCGCTTCCAGAGGCCCCATTCATTCCTATTCAGAAAGGGATATCTGTCCCCCAGAGAGAGGAGGGAGCAAAGATTCACACAGCCTGTGCCCTTCATAGAGCTGACTTTAGCAAGGCCGGAGGTGTCCCCTTAAGTCTAAATAGATCAACGACCCCTGGGTCCCACTTCCCCGATCCCAGCCTGGCCTTCTATGGTCACCATGGCTCCTAGGAGACTGGGCAGGCCAGAGCCTGCGCACTTAGGGAGTTTGAGGCTGTTTCTCCTGTTGGGTAGGTTTGGGGGCTGGCTACAAGAAGGTGGGGGTTAAGAGGACACGGTGGGTCGCACGAGGTGTAAGCAGGTGTAAGCCCCTTGGTGGAGGCCAGAGCCCAGCCAAGACCTGGTGTGTGAAGGGGACCAGCTCCAGAAGCGGAGTCTTCGGAGCGATAAGTGGCTGAGCCTTCCCGGGGCAGAGGATCTGTTATGAGCCTGTCCCTGCAAAGAGCGGCGGCAGGAAGGAGGCAGGACGCAGAGACAGACAGACGCCCCGTCCTGGGTCAGTGGGCTGGCTGGGCTGCTGGGCACGACATGTGCTCACGTGCGTCCTGGTGGGTGCAGGCGGGAAGCTGGGGCCGCGGTGGCGCGCGGGCGGGCGCGTAAGGCTGTGCTGGAAGCTGCTCCAGTGTGGCCGGCTGCGGGTGGGGACGGGGGGTGGGGGGGAGGGAGGGAGTGCCGCAGAGAGCCGCAGGCGGGTGTCATTATCTAGTCCCGGACCGACCCTCTGAAACCGCCGCCCGGCCTTTGGTTGCTGCGCGCTGAGTCTGCAGTTGTTTCCCCCTGGGTCCTTTCTTGGGGGCCCCCGGGGAGGCCTCCGGCTGAGATCTGACTTGGAGGACCCCCCGGGATGGAGGGACGCCAGGACGGGCTTGATGCGAAGGGGAGGAGCTCTCTTTGCGGGGCAGGGACTGGCTCCGCGGAGACCCGCTGATGTGGCGCGCAGTGGAGGCGGGGAGGCCGGGACTGCGGGGTGCTGCGGGCTTGGAGACTTGGGCGCGACCTAGGCCGGGACCCCGGCTCGCGGACTGTTTGGGACGGAGGTCGGCAGCAGGGGCCAACCCTGAGGGCTTCTGCAACTGGAGCCTGCGGAGGGGCAGAGGACAAAAGAAAAGGAACAGGAGAAGGGAGGCAGGGGAGACAGGAGGGATGTTTTCAGAATACCTTTGAGCACTGAGCCCTAGAGATTTGCATTCTCAGAGCTGGGTAGGATGGAAGAGGCACAGAGGAGTAAACAGAGGCCTGCTGTTCCATCCTGCATTTTGATCGGAGTCTGCTACAGATTCTCCTTAAGGGTCATATTACCTTTTGGCTTCAAATGTCCCATGGCATACCATCAGCTTCCCCCAGGGACACCTCACCATGTCCCCTCTAACTATGCTGTTCTTGTTCCCTTGAGCCCAGCAACAGTCACTGAACCACAAGTGACACAGTGCCCAGCTTGGCTTTGGTAGACCAGAGAGGTATCTGAGGGTGTGTCATAGCTCCTAACACTGGCTCTGAGAAGTCCCTAGAGGACCTGTGGTCACTCTGCCCACAACCAAGGCTGGCAGGGGTCTCTCACCTGCTGGTGATGGCCGAGTCGGTCGCTGAGGCCGCACCATGAGATCTGCCAGGAAACTGCTGGCCTTCTGCAGGCATGGACACACTGATGGGGCGGGGAATCCGGCTCCGGGAGGTCGCTGCCCGCCCAGCCTTCCTAGGCAAGGCTGTTGTGGGCTCTGAGGCAGGTGTGTCCTCCTCAGAGCCTGTGCCTGAGAGTGTCTCAGAGGCACGGCGCTGCTCCTCGCTAGAGGAGGATGAGGCTCCTGAGGCCAGCCGCAGCAACAGCCGGCCCTGCCTCTTCTCCATCACCAGCCGAGCCAGGTCCTGCTGTGGCCGCGCCCTCTTGCTCCACCGCTCTTTGGCTGACAGTGAGCCCGAGGGTTCTGAGCCTGTGTCCTCTTCAGACAACAAGACGGGAATACGGCTCCTGGGCCGAGATCCTGGTATAGCATGGCGGCTGGGGGAGATGGTGGTCCCTTTCTTGGTTATTGGCTCTTGTGGGGGTGCTGGAGCTGGTCCATCAGCAAGGGCTGGGCCATTGGGCAATGAGTCTGTGACTACCTCTGAGGGTGTTTCCCCGGGAGGGCCAGACAGGGCACAGCTCTCCATCTCGGTCCCATCCAGCCCTGCCAAAGCCATGCCATCCTCCAGAGGCGCTGGGGCCCCCTCCTCTGCCATGCCCCCCTCAGAGAGCATCTCCAGGCCCAACTCGCCCCCAGTGCTCAACTCCTCAGGCCTGGAGGCCTGTCCTCCGGAAGACATGACGTTGAGGTGGGATTTCTCTGCAATGTGAACGAAGGTCCTTTCCACTTTGGTGAAGGGTGATGTCACTGCTGTGACTCCAGCCCCGGGAGCCACCAGCCCAACCCCAACCCCTGCTCCGGGTCCTGAGGGCTTGGGTTCAGACTTGAGGATGGAGGACAGGGTGCCCGGTTCGGATACATCCAGCTGGCTTCCAGTGGGCTGAGGCCGCTCATGCTGAGGGGTGAGCGCAGCCAAGGTGCCCAGATCAGGGTCAGGGGCCAGTTCGGCAGTGACTGGTGACTTTTTCATGTCACCGGGGGAGACGAGCACCAGCGTTTTGGAGCCCTCCTCTGGCTCCAGGTCCCCATCAGCCATGGAGGCCCGACCCCTGGCCTCTTTCTGGTCATCAGCCAGCAGTGTGGATGGGGCGCCCTCCTGGCTCCGTTCAGTGCTTCGCTCACTGCCCTCACTGCTAGAGCCACTTCGAGGCCCCAGCACCTCCCCAAGGGCCCCTGCCTCCTCCTCCTCATCTTCATCTTCTTCCTCTTCTTCCTCATCGTCTTCTTCCTCTTCCTCTTCTTCCTCCTCTTCCTCCTCCTCTCCCTCCTCCTCTTCCTCTTCTCCCTCTTTCCCATTGGCCTGAGGCTGAAAGGAAGCCAATGGGACCTGGGGGGCGGTGAGCAGCATGTGTGAGAAGCCCACCCTCCGGACTCTGTTGAGCAGCCGGGCCCGTTCTCGATAATCAGAGAGGTCTCTCTTGAAGTCCTGGTAGGGCAAGCCCAGAGGCACAGCTCGTGGAAGGCCATTCACCTCAAATGGGGGAGCCACAGAGAACACCTGTAAGGGGCATATACAGGGACCCGTTGAGGTCACCCACCTTCCCGGACCCCGGGAGGCCTCACCTGCACCCTAAGCTAGGAGACTCCCACCTCCCCAGAGACATCTGTCAGAGGTTAACCACGGGTCTATTTTGGTCTTACCATGTCCTCCTCAGGTCCCAGAATGCTCCCTGGTACCTAGTAAGGCTCAGGGAATCCCTGAGATCCTAGGGACAGACGTAGGTCCTAGGCTCGGCTGTCTCCCTGCCCTCGCCTCCCCTCACCAGACACAGCTAACTTCAGAGTATAACTGGTAACAAGAAAGAACCAGAAAGCAGCAGGATTTCAAAAAAAAAAAAAACTTTCTTTTGTAGGTGACCAGGCAGAAGGGGCTGAGACGGGATAGGGAATATCCCAGTTTGCCGGCCTACGTTAATCCCTTTATCAGGGTGCAGCTCCTCTGTAGCTGCTGCCCAGGACCACAGGACCCTGTTAGGGGCATCCTCTTACAGCTAGAGCACTGGCTGGGCCAGTGGAGCGCCAGCCTTTTTCCTTCCTGTCTTCGCCTTCTCTCTCTGAGGAGCTCAGTTAAGTTCTCCTCTTGGAAGCTGTGTGCGGAACTCTTGGCAGTCCCATCATGGCTGAACCTTTTCCTGATGGGAGACTCTTCCACAACCTCTCTGCCTCCACTCTGCTAGACTAGAAAGGTCCGAGGCAGAACTGGTGGTCTCCTCTCTTGGTCTGTTCTCTGTCTGTGCCTCAGTCCACTCTACAGGCACCCTCACTACATCAAGCCAATCGGTTTGTTCCACAGTGAGGGGCGGTGCCCAGCGTCCAGCACTTTCTTAGGCTTGTGAACACATCGGGCCTCTGCCTTTCTGAACCAATATGGTATCCAGACCAGAAGCCCCCCAAATGGAAATCATCTGTCACCTCCAACATCACAGCCCTATGTGACCATGTCAGTGTCTGCTCCCCCAGGGCTACATGGACTCTACTTTGCCAGCCTAGTCTTCCACAGCCCCCAGCCTGCTGGCTCAGTGCTGGCCCTGCCAGCCATCCTTCTTACAACCGAACTTCCTGAAGCTCAGATGCCACTCTGTCTGTCTCTGCAGTGGTTGTCTCAGTGAACATGTCACAGAACCCATCCTTGGCTTGGCACTCTAACAATCTCTTAACCCTACCCCACTTTCCGTCCTCTCCCTCCCTACCTCAGCATCTCCTGAGTGTGTCCTGCATCTCACACTCTCACACATGGACCCCTGACCCTCTATCCACAGGATAACTCCCTGTTGCCTTTCAACACTTCTGCAAAGCTGTCCTGTTCACTTACCAAGTAGATCCTCACCGGCTTCTACCTGTTTATCAGCTCCTTCTATGTGTTTATATGGATCTCTCTCTCCTTCCCTCCCTCCCTCCCTCCTTCCCTCCCTCCCTCCCTCCCTCCCTCTCTCTCTCTCTCTCTCCCTCTCCCTCTCCCTCTCCCTCTCCCTCTCCCTCTCCCTCTTCCCCCTTGCTTGCTCACTGTTGTTCTCTGTCACTTTTGTAAAAGAAGTCTCTGGAGGGTTGTTTCCCATCCATCCATCCATCCATCCATCCATCCATCCATCCATCCAAGAGGTCCTTGACTACCTGTGGTGACACATACTTGTAACCCCAGCTCTTGGGAAACAGAGTTATAGAGATTAAGAATACAAGGACAGCCTTGGCTACAGAGTAAATCTGAGGCCAGCCTGGGCTATATAAGACTGTTTTTAAAAAGAGTATGTCATGGGGAGACACCCCTAAACAAAGAACTACAGTCAACTAAGGACTGCTGAGAGAGAGAGAGAGAGAGAGAGAGAGAGAGAGAGAGAGAGAGAGAG